CCCTGTTTATCATCATAATATACGGTAATTGTGATGTTCATGAATAACCAAGCCCTTCTAGGGTTACAAGTAATACCATAACGGTTATTGTATCTCAATTCCTCCAATATAAATCTGCTTCTCCCCTTTCAGAAAGTATTTAGCACGTCGTCGTCATTCCGTACATCTCGCGGAAATAATTAATTCTAAATTGGTTCTGCAAGTAATTGCCTGCATTGCGAGCATCGGAAGTGTGGTATCGAATTGCATATTTCGTAGGGGCGAAACGCGCGCGTAATTTGAATGTTTCGTTCCGGGATGCACATGCACGGCTACGTGTTTATTCAGGTGCGTCTGTGATTGGTTCGTGGTACGAACGCGGAATTTAAATCAGCGAGCTGCGCGCCAATTCTAAATGCCCTCGACATTTCCGGATATCGGATTCTGCACTGTCAGGCGCCTAGGATATTCGTTTAATCTATCCGACAATCGACAGGACTCTAAATCATTTTGTTGAGGTACTTTGGATACTTTGTACGGACTGAAAATAGTCTTGAAGCTTTAAGAATTTTTGTGCTGGTATCTAGAAATTTACAATACAGCTTCTATTTTGGACATCATTCATCATTCGCAATATAGAAGATTACAATATAATTTTATTTGAATACGAAATAAAATTAGTGATGCATGGCCTTGAGGCGAATTGCTTGAACCTCCCGTACCGTAAAAACAAACGAGGAATAAAAATACTTAATAATTGATAAAAATTTATTAATAATTAATATAATTTTTTTAATGTTTTCAAATAGATTATTATAAACACTGTAGTTTTCATTATTCGTATTTTATAAACAAATATAAAAGCCTATACATTTTACAGACAAAGTATAAGAGCTTTTTTGCTCTGTATCTCCGTAACGAATGGACCTACTTTCACCAAAAACTAAGTAACACGTCTCTTCTTAAATACGAATTGAGCTTTCGAATTATTCAAATCGGTTGATCCGTGCTCTCAAAATCGTGGACTAAAAATTGTATTCAAGCATACAAAATTTTACATACACGATAAAATATACTGTAATTATAATTATCCTTTTCAAAACAGTTAAAACAATTATTTATTGAAAAATATTTATTGATTGTTGATTTTTTTCCTCGAATATTTAATTCTGGTACATAAAGCTCCAGCAATTTGCCTTAAGGCACGATGCCAAGCACAACTAGTTTGTTATTGTTTAAGTCGATTATTTACATATATTGGAAAGTTCTTGTCTTAAGGCAAAATACTACTCACACATATATACATCAATTTTTTCTAAGAAATGTCAAAATATTCAATAACCTCAGAAACGTGTAGAAATGCAAAAATTTTCAATTTTTATGCTATTACTATAATTTGCCCTACGAGAAGTTTTTTTTTATTATCTCTAATTTACAACTGTCCAGTAAAGGACATTCCATAAATTTGATGAATTTACAATAGTCGGCCAAAAAGGGACATTGTATACTACAAGAGCATGTTGGAAAGTTTTCCATACGTCCGGAAATATTCTCAACCTCGAAATAGAATTAAATAATATAGTAATAAATCTTATTGTTTTAGGTGTAGACTCTTAATATCTTGCTTGTAATGAAGTCATTGCCAAGACATTTACCTGATTTGGAGTTTTTAATTATTTCCTTAACTTCTGAAACAGAAAATCGGATAGGTACAGTATCTTCAGATGCCTCAACATTTGTTGATAAAAAGTCATATATAAATTTTTCTACGAGAAGTTAACTGGGTTATTGAAAGGTATTTTGCCTTAGGGCAAGTTACACAAACTTCTCGATATATGTAAATATTCGGCATAATCAATACGAATTGAGATTTAACAAATTCTAAAATTGTCACGATAAAAGTTTGAAATTTGCGCACATCAATATTCTAAAATTATAGTAATTTTTACAATAAAACCTCATTTAATAGGCACGTTTTAGGTTACATGCTAAGACCATGACCTACTCCATCATATAATGTTTAAAATCGTGAAAAAAATGCTATTAAATACTAAAAAACGACCACGATTACCAAAAACTAATTAGCACAATTTTTACCTAATACCTCTAGACCAATTTTTGAATTTTTGGTCTAGCAATATTTAGAGTGTATTCTACATGCAATATTATTTATTACTCACAATTCCAGCTTTGTAACATATTATGATATTTTCACAACTCAATTGTGAATCGAGCTTTAACAATTTTTTCCTCATCTATGAATATAATTATAAGTTTTCTGCTACAGGTTGAAATTCAAAGTTAGTACTTAGTATTAGACAGTTCTGGCGATAAAAGCTCACGCTTTTCGCGCGAATAAGTTTTTTTCGCAAGCTTTTACGAGTTACACGCAGCGTGTTGCTCTATAAAACGATTTAAACGAAGTTAGAGTTTTAGTACACCTGATATATAATAAAACGAGACTGGTTATGTCGACAGCATAAAAAGCAAGATATAAGATCATAAACTCGGCATGCAGTACCTAGATAAAATTTCACTATGAGAAGTATAATCTTGAAAAAAAATCATTGTTCGCGAACATTACCACAAAATCAGATATAAAGTACTGGTGATAAATTTATAATAAAGAGGCTCCAGTAACTTTTAACCTATCATTTCAAAACTTTCATTGTAATCCTTTAATAATACTAAATACAAAAATACTAATAACTTATAAACGATTTACGATTATATAAGGTTAAGATTATATAAGATTAAGATTAATCTCAATTTACAATAAACAATAAAGATATTATTATTAAATAATTGATATCAGCAACTTTAAATAAGTTATATAAAAGTAATAACAGAAGCAGTCCAGAAAATTATTATAATAGAGAAAATGTATGCAATTTACGATTACATAAGGTTAAGATTAATCTCAATTTACAATGAATAATAAAGATATTATTAATAAATAAATAATTGATATCAGCAACAGTAATAACAGAAGCAGTCCAGAAAATTATTTCAATAGAGAAAATGTATGCAATTGTTGTTGATCTTTTTCACATTTTTGACTATTCTTAAAAATTCCGTGTGCACTGCTCTAATTTTATGTGTGTTAAGTGTTTATCTATTTAATATATTCAAATAATAGATTAATGCATAAAAAATTAATATTTTATTTATTTTGTTAAGTTGATCATATACTTTTTTGATCAATTCGATCAGCTTTATTTCGAAATTTATTTATATATCTTATTTTAAAATCCAACGTAAGCAATACAGATAAATTTGGCCAAACCAATTTAGAAAGGATAATACACGTTGAAAATCTCTTAATTCTATTATTATTGAATGTCTTTTATTTAAGCGTCTTAATATAATATCGAACTGTATTTCCGTTGCTTAGATATAGCGCAAATCAGGGTTGTGGCATAAATGTATTCAAAATATTTTAGTTTTGTAATACAATGTATAGTCTAGAATTATGTTCAAATTTTAACCAAATATATTTCAAAATTAACTCAAAATAAATATAAATGAACAATATATGTATTAAGAAAATACAGTAATTTCTACATATTCGAACAGTAAATCTAATTGAATACTAGTGTAACTAAGTGTAAGAAACTGAATAATAAATGTCATGTTAAAGCAATTTTATTAAAAATTATTGAATAATAGTAATTTTATATTGTTAACAAGAAGGCGATAGTTAATAGCCCGTAGAGTGAGTTATAGTAAACGCAAAAAATCTAAAATATTTTTTTTTATATATTTTTACGTTGCAAAGTCTTCTCAATTTTTTGGCATATCTCAGAAAAAAATTGATGTGTATGTGCCCGTGTGTGTTTGTATCCGTGCGCGGATACAATCTTTCGTCGACGATTTTGTGAATGCGGATCAACTGATTTGAATGATTCAATAAACTTTCGATTCGATTCCTATCAACTGGAAGACGTGTTGATCAGTTTTTGGCCAAGGTTTTTCTCGAAATTTTAAAGCTTTTAACAATTTGAAATTACGGTACGGAAAGTTCAATTTACAATCTACAAAACATTAAGTTTTATAAAAAATAATGTTCGAACAAAAAAAATTATTCATCATGTAATTGAATTTAAAATATAGTGTATTTATCTAATAAAATTTGAAATACGCTAAGTATTTTACAAGATCTAAACTAAAATAAAAAAATATAGGATTATCCAAAACCACAAGAAAGCAAACATGTACATATTTATTTATAAGACGTTCTTCAGATATATGACCCTGTTTTTAAAATATTTAAGAAAGAAGACTGGCATACATATATGCATATAACGTATGTACAACTAACTGTAAATTACAGTAAGCGTTTTAGCGCACATCTTATAACACTTGTTCCAGTAAGAGAAACGTATTTATAAAATTTGAGTTTGCATATTTAAAAGTATAATAAATATTATTTAATAGCAATTAAAATAATTTATTAAAAATAATTTATGTTGAATAAATTTGGTTAAATGTTTGTGAAACTATAAATTGTAAAGTTAATGCTTGTGTTTATCACGATATCCAATTGGTTTTAATGTTGAATCATTATTTATATTAATGTGAATATTATAGTGTGGCGAATATAAATATATTTAAACGTTTAATTGTCTTGTATAAATAGAGCATAAAAATTCATACAATGCACTATATGCACAGCTAAATGACAAAGTCAGTTGGGAGAGTATAAATATCAACAATTATATATGAAGTGCAGAGTAATTACATATTTTTCGTGATAAATATAATGCAAATATTAGTTTATCAAAAATTGTGATTAATTTATCAATAATTTAATACTTATTGCAATTTTATTGAAATTGTTTAATAATTCAATAAAGTCAATGAAAAGGGTATAGATGCCACTTGTAATAAATATAACTTAATATCAGACTTAGAAAGTAATATCTGATTTATTCGCACTTAAAATATTTTAATAATTCATAGATATGAACAATTTGCAAACTAAATATAAGAAAATTAATAAATATATGACTATATGATATATGCGTATGTATTTTGTGTGTTCAATAACCATTTATCTTTATTTGAAATAACAGTTAATTATTTAATTTAAATTAACATGTTAATATTTTCAAACAATAAGTTGCGGTTAATAATTCCGAAAAGCTCTTGTAGTAGATTGAAACAATTATTTGTTAAAAATAAATATTATAAATTTTCGTTTTCGTTACAGAAATAATCAAAATGATCAGCAAAATAATCTTAGTACTTGCGTCTTTTGTATTTTGTGTGCAGTGTCAAGTACCATTTTTAGGAACATGTCCAGAAGTAAAAGTCGTGCAGGATTTTGATATAACAAAGGTATTTTAAAAGTTTACATATCAAATTAAAAATAAAAGTCTATTTTATTCTTATTTGTTTTATTACTATATATATCTATGATTATTATAAATAAATCGATGAATCAATATTAAATATTAAAACGATAAATATTATTATCAATACTGTGAATGCACAAATTATGCAAAAGTGTCTCCTTATTTCAGTATGTTGGAAAATGGTATGAAGCAGAAAGATATTTTGCAGTTTTTCAATTTGGAGGAAAATGCGTTACGGCTACATACAAACTATCACATGAAAACTCAACCAGTTCAATAAAGGTCACAAACAGGCAGATTGGAACAATGTAAGTTTGCACTCATTATTTAAATTAATACTTAATACTGAATTATTACGGAAAAATACTTAAATTCACATTTTAAAATAATTGATTTTTGTACTATAAAATGAATAACTATTAATTAGGTAATTGAATTGATATATGATATAAACTGAGAAGAATTATAATTATTACGTAGTTTAACGAAAAGTTACTTCTTGAAATCTTGAGGCAAATTTGTCATTTTTTTGACTGTAGTCCTAGAAAATAATAAATTGATAAGCAATACATTTATGTGAAGAAATTCCTCACTGGGGACATGCACCTAACGGCAAATGACCTAATTGAGCCAAAGGTTCAGATTGGTTATGAAAAATAATAAAAAATAAAAAAGTCCTAAAAAATAATATTATATATATATATATATATATATATATATATATACATATCTTCTTGTATATAAAAATGAATCGCAAAATGTGTTGGTAAGCGCATAACTCAACAACGCCTGGACCAATTTGGCCAATTCTTTTTTTAAAATGTTCGTTGAAGTCCAAGGATGGTTCTTACGGCGAGAAAAATTCGAATAACTACCGGAAAAACCATAAAAAAGCCCATTTCTTTTTTTCATACAAAAGTTTCCTAACTAAAACCTAGAATCAATTTGAGCTTATATAAAGTTCATATTAAATAACGATTATTCGGATTTTGATAAATCTTTCTGAAGTTTGTTAAAGAAATTTTCTAGGAAGTATGTGATTATAAAGTACTAGAATGTATGTGCAATATTGTAGATATAAATGAAAAAAAAATGAAAACTATCATTTGCCAAAAATTTCAATTTACTTATAAACCTAGACAATATTAGAATATGTATAATAAATGTATGATTATAAATAAGAAAAATGAAATGTCAACATTATTATTGCCAAAAAGCAGCTGAGATGTACCAGAAATTAAAATAATATAATATACATTTTAAGAGAAGTTTGGATATCTTAAATAATAAACAATTAAATTAATTTAATCCAACATGAAGTACCAGTGTTATGTTATGGTTATGGTTATGTTATACCGTTTAAAAGACTTCAATTTTCAATTTAGTGTGAATTGAGACTCACCATTTTATTTAAAGCAGTTCTACATTTAACATTGCTCATATTATAAATGCATATGCATTTTAGCGTAAAGAGTAATTTGAAAAACAATAATTATTATTTTCAGATAGGCGGTAAATATTAGTATATTATATTAAAAAATTGTAGACACGGGTACAGAACAACGTCTGTTGGGTCATCTAGTATATATATATATATATATATATATATATATATATATATATATATATATGTTCCAAAATTAATTTAGCAATAAGTTATGAGTTATAGACGTTAGCAACACCTTGTCTGTACAGTTGCCTCAATGCACCATGCAAAAACGTAACCCTTTCCCATAATGTGTACCGTTAGAAGACCTTAATCTTGCTAAAAAAACTGACATGTCGCTGTCTTCGAGAATAATACAGTAGCGTAATATAACATAGCATAACATGATTTTGCATTGTTTAGTATACTTTTATTTATATATGATCCATGTTTTGATACTCTAATTAAATGGTGAATTTTTATCACTACTATGCACTATAGTATAATTATTCATTATAACTTTTCAAATTTCAACAGAAACGGTCCGGCATAATAGTGACTAACTTTTTTTGGACGATATGTATGAAACCTTGTATGACGATAGACTTCATAGTCTAAAATAACATACTAAAATATTATAGGCCTGCGATCAGCGGTCAATGTATAAAAATTTATTATTAGAATTTCGCAGCGCGTTTAAGCGATTCTAATCAGAATCTATGCTTTTCGTGCTTATGTAGGTTCAGTATTTTGTAGGTAGCTACTGATTACAGTTGACATTTTTAGAGCCCGCAATGGATGAAATGAAATGTGTCGAATAAGTTGGTTTAATTTATACAATTACAGATAAAATAAGTATATTTCGAACACACAATTGGCATTGATTTCTTTTTTTTGAAAAAAGCGAAATTTTTTTTTCGAAATAAATATTTGAATATTTTACCTAAATACCCCAGAATCTCAAATCTTATGAATTAAGTAGATTATGTATACTATAGGAAAGGGAAGTTCACGTAATTATTTTTAGAGTAAAATGCTACTTGCAACTCTCTATGCTTTCGATGTGTTTTCAATAAATTTAGTTTTTGCATAATATATTTATATTTATATTGTATCAAACTATAAAATTTGTTATAATTTATGGAAATGTCCAAAAAATGTCCCGAAAGAAATGTCCAAAATTTCTATTCACGAAAAAAATGTCTAAAATTTCCAATAAGAAGTATATACTGAAACATGATAATTTGCATGTAAACCTGTTTTGATACTAGTTATTTCATATATTTCCATTTTTACAAAACAAGGAGAACAACCTTTAAAAAAAGACAAAATAATTTAATGTTACATCATAAAGTAAAATAAATACTATTATCATGCGTTTTATTGCATTTAGTAAAGATTTAATAAACCATTTTATAATAAAAATTAATTTATCATTATAGAGAATAAATTAATCAACTGTTTTATACAAAAAATTCACACGGTCCTAAAATGCAAATTAACATTAAAAATTTACTTTTTGATTGATTATTCAACCGATTGAGTAAAATAGAAAAGTCTCTATATGATTTTATCCATGACCAATCATATTAAAATGATTGAATGAACAATCATATAAATACATCTCTATCTAATTATATGTAAATATATATCCTTAAATTATCAAACAGCAAAAATACATTACGGTAAAAAATAGCTACATTTATATGCAAATATAAGACATTAAATTTTACTGCCGGCTTATAGTATTTAAAATGAAAACATGTAATATACATTTTCATTATATATTTTTAGAACAGGAATCAGCACGGAGATTGAAGGATATGCTAAACTCGGAAATGCTAGAAGCACTGAAGGCAAACTTAAAGTTACTTTTCCATCCTTACCAGGTAAATATAATAAAAAACTCATTAAGTTATGTATTTTTGTATATTAATATAAATGTTTGATTAACTTTATAGTCGACTTTGATGCACCGTATTGGGTCTTAGGAACAGATTATGAAAATTTCGCTGTTGTATGGTCTTGCAACGATCTAGGATTTTTGAATACAAGTAAGTAAAATTATTTCATATTTGAAAAATAATACAATTAAGCAATACTGGAAAGTGATGAGAATGGGAGACCTACATTCACGATAAAAGATCAAAAATACTTTGCAAAATCTATGTCTAATTTTGTATAGTATCTATTAGAAAATAATATATTTGAACACATTATCTTCAACGCTTAAATTCCTGTGATTACTTGTCATATAAGTATAATATAAAAAACATTAAAACTCAATAGAATTCTCACTAAATCAACAGATTTTGAAATCGATCCTTACCCTATATTTTTTATTTTTGGTATTGATGATCTCAAACAACTACCATAAAAAGGAAAAACATAATCACAATATTGAATAAGACAATTAATCTTCTGTTTACATTAGGAAATGCTTGGATATTAACAAGACAAAGGAAAGCTTCTGTGGAAATTATGAAAAAAGCGTACGCTATAATTGATGAAAATAAAATAACAAGAGCTTATTTCATCCGCACGAACCAGCAGAGTTGTCCCAGCCAGTATTAAAGAAATAATAATAGTTATTTATTTTTATAACGTTAAGATATTTATTTTGTAGTATTAAGAAAAGCAGTTATATACAGGGCCGGTTCGACTTATAAATTTTTCATAAATTAAATAATATTTACGTTGAATATACGCGGTGATATATTTTCTTCAAAGAAAACATACGAGATTGGAATTATGTAGATGTAATGTATAATTTAAGAAAATGTTATATCTTGTACCAGTCCTATTTATATTAATATCAATATTGTTATATATTATACTGTGCCTTAAACAGTCTGTGAATTATTTGATATTATTTATTTATATGTAATCAATATTTATTTAATTTATTTATTTATATAACTTATTTATGTTATAGATATTTCATAATTATTGATCTAATTATTATGTTTGCTTTGTGATTTTCAATAAAGAAACTATTAACAAAAATATAGATTCATACTACATATTTATATGAGATCATTAAATGTTTCTAAAATTGATTCATAAGTGTTAAAATAAAACTCATTACAGAGGGCATCACAGATTCGACAGCTTTTTGTCACAAAATTATGTATACCTAGTTTGTTTTACCAAGTGTTAATATCAATTTTGAATTATCAAATTAATAATAATAATTATAATATCAACGTAGCCTAGAAAAATTATTACATATGATTCACTAACTCTGTTCATTTTCGCATAGTATTGTTAAAACTTATTAAACAAGTTATTTTTTCATAATACTTTGAAAGAAAATAAATAAAAAATGATTGTCTGATATCAAAACGTGCAGTAAATAAACAGCAAGTACGACCAGTTTTTTTTATTAAATACTAGAAAATATGTTATTACCAGGAAAATAATTTATAATAATTAAAAGTTGATGTAGTTAAATTCAATAACAGTTTAATATACTATTTACAAATTTTCACGTATTGTATAAGTGAATGTATTTTTACAAGTTAAATGTTTGCTTATACTTTCATGAGAGTTCATGCCTTATATCAATATGATTGATAGAAATTTGGCACAAATTTCAAGATAACGGTGAAAATCATTACTGTTTTCTATTAATGTCGAAGACATGTTTGAAGTGTTACGAACCACAGATATTTACAATCAATATAACGTTTTGATCTTACCGCTTAATTCACAAGTAATCGCGAAAATCAAACAGAACAACATTTTATAAAATATTTAGTCGATGTGTGATTTCAATACTTTCCTGATATTTTCAATTAAGTTCACATTAATAATGATAGTGCTTAATAGTTAATTTAAAATTAAAGGTGTTCTCTAGAGTAGAGGTATGAATTTTAGATCATTTTTAAAATCATAAAAAAGGCTAATTACTATCATTTCTTTTATAATGTATTCATCACAAAAAGTAATTTATTTATTACAAAAGCACAGAAAAAGGTAAAATAATGTTTATAATTTTAAAAATGAGCAGTTGTTGAAGTGGGGGGTCTCAAAGAATTGACATGCCAATAAATGCAACTCTCAGTAATCCGAAATTGAATAAAAGAATTATTAATCTAGAATGATATCGCAATGGTATATACTAAGATTAAATTAAAAAAAAAAAGCAAAAAGCGGACTGACTGAAAAAAAATCAATTTTCCTCACAACTTTTTTGAGTTTTCAAATTTTTTAAAAATAGTTAATATTGAAATTTGGTGATGAGGCGAGTATATGCTTAAAAAATGTCTATAAAGAAGATTCTCTGAGAATTTCAAGTTAGTCGGTCCAGCAGAACTTGGGAAATCGTGGGCATGGCGTTGAAAAGACGGTTTTTAGAAAAACGCAATTTGCTGTTCTATAATATCTATTCATCAAGATAATAATTTGCGTCTCAACATCACCAATTAAATAAATATTTTGCTGCAAAATTAATCTTGATGTCATGATAAATATATATATATTATAGAACAGCCCACATGGATTTAATTAGAGGTTAAGTGATTTATAAATATTCTAATGTATCATAATATTTGAGTGGCGCACAGATGACGCACAAATTTACTTAATGACACATGTTAGTAACAAATATATAAAACTTTTAATTATTATGCGCTTTATGTAAATGTTTATATAAAGAGCTAATGCTTATATATATATATATATATATATATACATCTAATTAACAATTTCTACGATATATTTATCGCAAGATTTTTCTGAAAAAATTTCGCGGTCACAAATGCAAAAAACTCATATTCCAGTTTCAAGACTCATCCAATTAGTTATTTACAATGAGCATTTTAAATTTGCATCACTTCATACTTTGGTATAAAAACGCATTTCCACTATACAAATAGATAAAGTGCATATCTGAGTTTTTGCTTTATCATCATTGTATTTGCCGAGGGCTTAATTGCATACGCGGAAGAATAAAGTGCACACTTTTTTGTTAGACAACAAGAATTTAAAATGTATAATGATTTAAAAGTTTCTTTGAACAAAACAATGCATGTAAAAAGTAATACTATCTATAAATATACGCAGGTTTGAGTATTGTGTTATATCAACGTCATTTAACCAGTTTTTTATCAAACCGCTTGTATCCAGATGAAAATTTACAGTTTGTTTTTCATGTGTTTTATTTACTCGTTAGTTTGTTTGGTTTGAGATCCGAACAGTAATGTTTTGAACATGGTATGAATCCAGAACGTTTATACATAAAATGGAAGCAAATAGAGAATTCATAAAATAGTAAAATATTATGTAGATCACTCAATAGCAAAACTCAGCAACTACACTCAAACTTTTTTACGACATTCTTGACAAAGATGGAAATTTATCCTAGATACTCATCTTAAATATTCATTCTAACCATTGTTTTTGTTCGTACCATTTGTTCTTGAAAACAAGTTAATTTTTTTATTATTAATTATACGTTTCGTCACTTCATGTGTGTTATCATTTTGCAAATGACATTAGTTGAATAACTTAAATTGTCAAGTTTAATACGTCTGAGGCATTAGGTATCCTCTTTTAGTTTTAGATTTAAATTATAACTATTCGAGCAGCCTGTTGTCAGGCAACAGTGACAACGATTTTCACTTGGAAATATAAATAGCAATATGTTTCCAAGTGAAAATAGCCCTCACCCGGCATTGTTGCACCATATACTTGCCATATTACAGAGATTGTAATAAAAAAATTATCATACAGAGATGTGACAACTGTTTGGGTTGCCATCTGTAATAAAACAAATGTAGTTTGTAAGATATTGATCACAGCTCATAGAACCCATAAGTTCTGATCGCTATTCAAATAAAATTTAAAAAAAAAAAAAATTATAACTTGTGTGTTGTTCTTTCTTATTTAAGTTTTAAAAATATTTTGTTTTTGTTATGGCTTGATTTGCTAAATGATGACACACATCAGGTGTCTAAACGTATAATTAATAAAGAATATTTTTCTTTTAACTTTTTTTTTATTTCGACGAATTGTCTATGTTTCGACGAATGCTAATATTTTTCATCGTCGAAAAAGAATCGATATATATATATATATATATATATATATATATATATATAATAATTCAATAATGACTTGATTGTTTAGTTAATCCTAAAAAGAATTTTGAATTAAATAATAAAGTACGTAGTATCCTTATGTTCCAACATTTATTTAATATTGCTTAATAAACAAAACGTATAATTTTCGTATACATAGAATTGCCTAAAATTATCTAAATAGTTAAAAGAATTATTTACATAAGGCAAAATACTTTAAAGATCATGCTATTGTAATTATTTTTTACATAGTATCATTTAACCAAAGGAAAACATCTCCATATTATTCAACACATAATAGCTGATATTAAGGTCTAATCAGATTTCAAACCTATAGCTAGAATAATTCTCCAATAAAAACGTATGGACAAAAAATCAGTGTAACATGATAATTACGCGAATTTTACACATCTGAAAAACATAAGTGATTTTGTGGTAATTTTTAGTCTAATTAATTTTTAATTCATTAGTAAGTAGATATTTACATTGCTCTTATAATCTAAGGAATTTTAAGAACTTTTATGACGGAGTATTAAAATTATTTACGAAATTTTATCAGTCAGTTTATATTATATATGTTAAATCACTACACTGGCATAGTTCAATCAATCATGTCCAATTCCATAAAACACTTTTTTTTGAATGATGAAGATTTTAAGTATTTGCAAATAACTTATTATTAAAACAATATTTTTAACACTGCGTGTTGGTCGAATCACATTTTATTTTTTGTTGCACATTTAACTTATGCAAACAGTCTTTGGTAAATTATATAAAATAATATAATGAATTAAATCCTATTACGCAAGCTAAGGAAGGGAAGAGATAATTAGTAAAATACACTTAAATTTATTACACATGAAAATTGAATGTTTGTAATAGAATGAAAAAATGGTTTTGATTATACTGATACTAACAATGTTCTCTGCAAACTATTTCTTGAACAAAGTTTGTACTTGGTGTCAAGTTTTTATAAATGCAATCTGACAATGGTTTTTTCCCACCGTCAGTATTTTCCTTCAGATATTGATTATTACAAAATATATCAAACTAACTGCATTTTTATTTATTTCTATTGAGAACTATTAACCTCATTAAAAAAATTGTTAATAAGTTATCATGGTGAGTATATACTAAAATTATTAATAGAAATACAAAGCTAAAAAGTTCCCATGCAATACTTACATATTGTGCAAGATATATAAATGTTAGTAGATGAAGACAAGGCGACAGATCGTTAGCAGAATCAGCTAAAATCAGAGTTATTTCCAAATATTTTTATGAGAGATTATTAATAAAAAATTAAAATAGAATATTAATTAGCAGTTACAAATGTAATTCTAAATGATTCCTTTCTAGCATATTATTAAAGCTTTACAAATTTTTCACTCCCTTATAACTTTCATTCAAAAATTAATCATATGAGTAAGTACGCGAAGATTCTAAAATGATTTTGGAATTAAATTCGCCTTCTGAAGATTTTTCCTTTTATTAAGAACATGAAACCGTACAAACGATCTCGTATTTTCTAAATTGATTCGCAATCGGATATCCGCACAGGTAAATTTATTTTGTCAGTAATGAACCTAAATCATGTGACGCGCATATAATGGAACTTGCTCATACCGGAACGAATTTTTTTTAATAAAAAACCTACAGATTTATGATAGAAATAAATGAAAAATTAAATAAAATTTTCTAATTCAAAGCATTAATTTAAAAGAAACATTTTGTGGAATAGTTAGTTCAATTAAATGGTACTCGCTGAGAGATAAATTCTCATTAGAGATTCTTAAATGAAAATTAAAGTTGAGTACATGTAGTCGATGTAATAAAAACAATATATTTTTAGTTTGAAAATGCTATTCGGTTTCCTAAATTGCTTAATAAAATAAATGGTAAATTATATTATAGATAAAAAAATGTTCTCTCTAATAGCAGATAATAATGTTAGTACAAGTCATTGATAATTATAAAATATGTATTGCTAAACAAATTTCTATATTGCTAAACGATTTTCTTTTATTCAAAAAGCTATTTCAAGAAGGACGTTGAAAATTCCATATACAAAAATTATTTACAATAGAAATTAAATTTTGAAGCGGTTTTTATATTCATTTCCCTTGAACTATATTTGAATCAAATTCGAAAGGATGGTACATAAAATACCTTATAAAATAAATATATAAAACACCAAATGATTGGTATATAAAATAATTAGTGCGTTGTTTCACAATTCCAACCACAAAGGCTATTTCACAATGCAACATACAAAAAATTCCAAATCCTTTGATTTACCTCAAAAAAGTTTTTTCCAAATCGATATCTATTTTTTTAACCACACAATGCATAAATTATACTATGCATTTTTTCCTTATTTTAATTTTTTGCCCATGATTTGATATGAATGCAGATATTCGTTTCAAATTTTATATTTGAAATATGTCTTTTTGATTTTGAGATAAGATCGTGAAATATCTATTTATAAACATTTTACCACAGAATAAATAGAATTAACTCTTATACAAAATTAATTATATCAATAATAAAATGAACTAGTATTAAAATTAGAAATTCTCGGGTAACTTCAATTTCATTTCAGAATATCATAATTATTATTACTTCAATATTATTTTCATTGGGCAACTTCAAACTTTTATCTAGAATCTGTTGGTTGTTGAAAGGGGTTGAAATTTGTATTTAAAAGAAAGTAGTATTAAGGAAAACACTAAGAAAAGTAAATGTCTTTAGTTTCTAATATATAATTAAACTAATTTTAAATATAATATAAATGTGTATTGTCCAAAAACTATTAAAACTGATAACTGCCAATGTTAACATATTTTTTCAACATTATAAATATTCTTTTTGTATAGCACAATGCAGTATGCTGTATCTCTCCTTATTTTAATTTATCATGTTTTATATTTCACAGCTACATGTATTTGCTTTAAATCACACAGTAGAAAAAGCTTTTTTGATTTAGTCGTACACTCAAAGCAGCTAAAACCATTTTTTTGTAAATATCTATATTATTTACAAAATGGAATGTATATGCGAAAGCCCATGTCACATTTATTATACGAATCCCCTTTACTCGTAGCAGATTCGACAGACGCAAAGCGAACGTGCATATTTCGATAATCCTCCAATTGACAAATTACTATTTGCCGGTGAATATTGCTGATTTATTGTATCACCAGATTGCAGAGTGGCGATTTTATAAACACGATTGTGTAACACGAATTTAAAAGATTTATGTTCATTGTGAATATTAATTAATTAAATTATAATGATGCAACAAAATATCAAAGAGAAATGTTGAACAAAATGGAAATTCATAAATAATATTAAGTACCGGATAAATCTAATCAATACAATTACATAATAAATACAAAATTCTAAAAACGCACCGCCAGATAAAAAGCAAGCATAATCCCTCAATTAATCAAGAAATCAGTACATAGTCTTGCAAAAATCGCGGAATCGCACAATCGCGAAAGAGTATGCGATAATATTTTTTCTCATCTAGAATGATAATGCTTTTTATGTATTTCGAACTTCATTTTATTTAAATATTTTATATTAGTTGAATAAAAATAGTGAATATGCATTCACGAATATCTAAATTTAAAAATAATATTTTTAAATTTAAAATGACGCGATTGAGTATGATAAATTGATTCTTGTGTTACGACTTCTATTAATCATATAAACAGTATATTTCAGGCTTATTAGTATTAAAAGCAGATATTTTATATAAGTAAAATTATATTAGCACTTACCAAAAGTGTGATTCCTGGAAGCAGCAGCCGTCAAATCTGCAGAAGCTGCTGTAAGATCAGCTGGAGACACCGCTGGTGGACCTCCTGGTACGAGAAACAAAAACAAAAATATAAAAAATGTAGAAAATACTACTCTACATGCTATATGTCTATGAACCTTCATTGATAGTATTCAGCTCACTTATTACAAATCATTCACATTTCTTATATTAACCCTCTATGAACTCGCGTGACTTTTAAGTCACATTCAAAATCTTTCGATATTTAACAAATAATTATGACTTTTTTCGTGAGATTATTCATGAATCTTAATTCTATAATATTGTTAGGACAGCCAATATCAATAATTATATCCTTTGCTAGGCTATTCAACCTGATATAACATTTTCATATACAAAAGTGCAAATATTAGAGGCCGCCGTAGCTTGAAACATAACATATAATTTATTAATAATAAAAAAATTGTTGAAACAGATTTTTCGTTTTACATATGCATATAAAGGCTTGTAAATACTGATTTTATGTTTCTTTATTTTTTTGAATGTAAAACAAAATTTAAAATTAATTCAAATACGCATTTTTAATCTTTGTAAATAAGCATTTTACGTATTATTAATTAGGAAGTATCTTTATACTGTCAAATTTAAAAAACACACTATTTCAAAATATCGGTATATAAATAAAGTACACAAATTTTGAAATATTGCATTGTTAACAAAATGTATTTATTATCATTTTTGCAAAAATTATGTAAATTTCATTCAGTAAGCCATCGATAATAGAGAAATGTTACCCTCCTACCCCAACAATTTCCTTCCCTTTGGTCTGTCATATTTTTCAAGTGCAGTATGAATTACAGACATTCAATTTTCTACGTGAATAGACTGAATGATATAGAAATGCGAATAGTACAATTATTTCCTATGCATAATTCAATGAACGCAACACAATATGTGCGGCTCAAATGATACTGCAACGTTCTCTATAGGCGCGTTGGTCCGGAGTCCGGAATCGGTGTTAATTATATAGCCGGCTTTAAAATACGCCCGGAGAATGCATAATGTACTATGGGGCACTAATCAAAACCAGCGAGTCAGTCGTATTAATCATAAACTAATTACCTCATTATTTTAATATGCATTGCACTGCGTAGAAGAAAGGCTGCATTGGGTAAATGACATATATGAGAACTACGTTTGGAGAATCGCAAATATATTGCATTTTGCGCACCCAGATTAGTTACGCGTGATAAATTATTGCTATGGTATCAAAAATTTATATTACCCTAGCTTTCACAAATTTTAGTCACAGTTTTAGAGAAAACAAAATAAATCTTCAGGATAGTTAAAAATTTCGGGAAATAAGTGTAAAGGTGAGCAAGGATCCAATATGTAAAAAAATGGGAACCTAATATATGCAGAAAATATTTGTAAATTATTACAAAATTTGATAAATTTTGTAATAATTGAGAGAAAGAAATTTGATAATTCATTAAATTTCATTTTTTAACAATTAATAAAAAAAAAACAAACCAAAAATTGAGAAATAGTAATAGAACTATTCTTAAGAGGCACAACTAGTGTAACCGACTAAAAAAATGTAATTTGGGGGAATTTATATCAAAAAATACTTTATAAATCATTTCAAAATTTCAAGAATACATTTACACATGTTTTAAGAATACATTGTAAAATTTTTGAAGAAAAAAATTAAATATTTTTTAAGTTATCGTCGATCTCCAACGGCGCGAAAAAAAGGCCCTTCACTGCTGCAGTGATTTCGGCCCTCTACGTAGATGAAATTGAAAAAAAAAATCTTATTACACTAGATAATATTGTCTGTAAAATGACCTTCGATGAAATAAAATTGACAAAATGGCGGCGTTTAAAAAAAATCGATTTTTACCCAAAATTTTGGTCGTTTTTGGACTGCCAAAATTCGATTTTTGATTCGATCAAAAAATCGATAGTTCATTTTACAGAGAACTATATATAGAACATGTAAAAAAATTTGATTGTGATCGGATCATTTGTTTTTGAGTAATCGCTGCAGCAAATTCGGAAAATGCTGTTTCGAGAAAAACGCGTTTAAAGTTACTCGTAAAGTGATCGTTTACTATACACTACATATATATACTCTTTAAATGGCTGTAACTCAAAAACTATTTTGAGATACCGATTTAAAATTTTGGTATATTATTTTTAAAGGTATAACCTATCGAAAAATGGAAAAATTGAAAATTCGATTTTTTGAAAATTTCACACTAGTTTTGCCCCTTAATGAAATAGATAAGATAGATAGATAGAACTGATAACTGACATTTAGAAAATGATCAGAATTACATTTATTAACGTTAGAGAAATTTAAGTAAGTTAGGACAGACTTTGCAAATCTGCTAAGGCCACAATTTTTTCTCTATTTAAATAATAGATTGTGAAATGTTGAAAGTATGTTTAAAATTGAACTTATGTTCTGAAAGCATGGTTTTGAACTGACTTGAATTCTTAGAGTTTTCAATATGTCGATTTTCTATATATATTGAGAATTTTCTCCACATTACAATCGTTGCAGTCAATCCTATAAACCGAATCAGTAATTCTATGAGCTGGAGTTATAGACTTAAGAATATTATATATATATATATAGTGAAGTTGTAACAATAAGTACAAATTGCATGTAATAACTCAAGTTCATTAGTTTCAATGTCTTATGAAAAGCAGTACATGTCGAATCGATTTATTAGATCTGTTTCCACAATTCAATCACACTTATCACAAATTACTTTATCATCAGGCCTGACCTTTATAAACAAGTCCTTCCTGTTTGAAGGTATAATTGGTATCCGGCAACGATAGTTCGCATGACATTTCAGCCGGATCTTCCGGCAACTCTTCTGTCCTCACTTCGCTACTGACACGAACTTTGAACAACAAATCATTATTCTGCGTGATATCGGTGTCTGTCTCACTTAGTTCGCTGAAATAGAAATGATATATGGTGTATCTAGAAAATGGGATTTATTGGTATTTTTAATGGCATTTTTATTTAAATAAGAATTATTATGAAATGTTAGATATCAGTGGAATATTATTATTTTGCTCATTTTGGTTTTTTGACTTCCCGAAGGGTAAGTTACAGTAATCGCAAAAAAATCGAAAATGAAAATTTTTATATATATTTACGTTTCAAAGGTTTCTGAATATTTTGGCATACCTTAGAAAAAATGGAAGTATGTGTGTGTGTGCGTGCAGATACAAATTTTCGTCGACGATTTTGGGAACACCGATCAACCGATTTGAATAATTCAAAAAACATTCAATTAATTTTTGGCGAAGGCAGGTCTAGCCGTTCCGAAAATATGGGGAAAAAAGTGCCAAAAACGGTAACTCAGTTTTTAAGAGAACGGAGCGTCGACTTCCAACTATTCAAAAAATATTTTACCTGTATTGACAAGATGAAGAACTGATTAAATTTTTAGGAAGGCAGGTCCAGCGGTTATGGACTCTCAATAAAAATAAGTTAAGAAAAATGTCCTTTGGCGGTCAAAAATGTTTATTGGACATATGTACATCAAATTATCAGATATTTTATAGAGATTTTAATAATGTGTACACATTTGTGTAATTTTTTTTGGGTTCCTTACCAAGATTTTTAATTGCTGTACGGTAAGTTCCAGCAATTTTCATGCCATGCAACCTGGGATGCCATGCACCCCACTAGTTAAATTTTGTATCAAAGATTTTAATAATTGAAAAAAAATACAAACTAAATTATATAATAATTGAATAAATAGGATTCTAATAATTAAAAAAAAATAGTAGTATAAACATGAATCGAGCATTAATCCTTCAAGATTATAATAATTAGTATGTATTTTTTTGTTCAATTTTATTCTGCAATCTGTATATATTATTACATTAAGCAGAAAATGCTGACAAGATCAAGTTGATTGATTACAAATTAGTAGATACACCCAGTGGCGTATTTACAAGAGCTGATTGAAATACGAAAAAAATAATAAACACAGAAGAAAAAAAAACAATAAAATATAGCAAAATGAAGTTTTTTTTTATTTTTTTTTTAATTTTTTTTTCTTGAATTTTTTTTTTGAATTATTATAGTTAATTTATACTATATTAGGTCTTCAGGTAGTTTTCTAACATTAATATGTATGTAATAATGAGTATGTATATAGAAATTACTTAAAAAAACTTGGTCAGTTAATAAGAAACTATGAATTGGACAGTTTTTTCTTTTAATATAATAATGGTAGCATGACGCCATACAATATTTATTTGTTTCTGATTACAACGGTTCACTCAACTTTGTTTTAATATGACAACTAATATTAAAAGTATGCATATTTGTGTGTTTATTTGGGCAGACAAAATTATTATTATTAATAAATAGATAGTTTAATCAACATTTGGTAAATTATTTGGACCAATTTCTAATTTCCAATAGTAATTTCAACAAACAAAAAATCAACGTTTTGCAATCATTTTAATAATTAATTAATGTTTACTATTTACAGAATAGAATAATTTACAGAATTTAAATTTGTAATAAATTTAATTGTCTAGAGATTTGGAAGAAATTATATGAATATAACAAACTAGGAAAAAGTTTTTGTATAAATAATTCAAATATTTCCAATAAGTTAGGACTTTTTGCATTAAATAGGTATTACATGAAAATATTTGAATATCATTGATGTATATGAAATTGTTTTGAATATTTCATAACATCAGTGATGGAATAATCATTAAATTAATTGACATAAGAAAACCGTGATACGTGTAACAGCTATTATGATGTAAATTTAAAATCTGCACTTGAACATTATTCAACAATTATTAATATTGTATGCATATATGAATATAGAAATTATTAGAGCGGACTTGGATGCATGCATAATAATTCGTCGCCAAGAGGAGAGTTTCGGATATTGAATTATGGGATACGCTCTCTGAAGCCGCAACTCATCTTGTTAGTAATTCCTGATATTACGAAGGATAATGGAATTTCAGTACATGTACGAAATTATTGGACTATTCATATAGCGAACTTTTCGACCGCCATCCTGAGTAATCTGTGTTAAATTATCTAATGAATTGAACGAAGTTGAATAATAAAATTAAACGTCAGATCTCATATTTTTGCTAACCCAGTTATTGATTTTTGATAGTCCACACAAAAATTAAAGCGTCGCCTGTGAAGTTTTAATGCATTTGTCGTGTTTTTCTGATCCTAAATCAAAAGACCAGTCATTTTACCCCATACTGGCAATATAGCAATAGCAAATACATCAATACATAATAATATATGAAATCGAAATTAGGAAATTCTGATCCGAAAATAAAAATTTCTATTTTATCTTGGTATATAAATATTAATTCAATTCAATTGTCCTAATCTATTTAAAAAAATATGTAATATATAATATCTGAAGATAATATTTTTACATTGCACTTTTAATTTAAAATATTAAATAAATTATAAATACCTAAATTGATAATTGCACGCTTAAGTGAAAACTTTATTGAATATAAACGTTCTATTGAACAAGCTAAAATAGATTTGCTATATTAATTTGCACAGGCTTCTCTCATTCCATTTTCCCTTTTGCAAATGTACACAAAATAACAGATGCAAGAATAATATGGAAAACTTTAGGCAACATTTCACGCACCTATGCGCATTTCACAACAGAGTTAATAAAAATTTCAAATTTAATTTCAAAAATCTAAAAATTGCAACAGCGTTATTCGCGCTGATTTATGTTATGATATTGCTGTGCAAATTGAACGTTTGCGCACATAACAAAAGCCAGTTGCTATGTCATGTGCATACAATTTTGCACATTGCAAACTTTAAGAAATCGTACAGAAAGACAGAAATATAAGTTATAAGTGTTTATCCTGTCCGAAGGCGAAAATAGACAAGGATGATACTTGGTGCTTGGAGATATTTTTGCAGATAAATTTCATATTTTAAAATAAATACCTCATGTGATTTGAGTGGACACAAAATTTCTATGCATCAAATGCCACAAGATTTAAATTATTCAATAGTGCTTTTAGTTATGAGCCTTATTTAAAATACATATTTTGATTTTATTATATTCATACTCACTTATTTGCAATTCGCATGGTTATGATTGGTGATGGATAGACACCATGAGCCCAACAAAATACCCTTATTGTATCATCGTCCACTTTTTCTTGCCCCAAAAGAAGCATCGATTGAGGCACTGCAACAAAAAAAAGTTATATAGTGACAATATAAAGTAAAAAAGAAAAATTATGTCCAAACTTATAAGATCATATCTTTCTTATTTTTTTATTTTCCAAACATCTAGGAAATAGTTTTGAAGAATAAGTTTAACAAATTACATTTTGATTCATTGTAAGAAAGGTGAGAGATGAGCGGAGTCTCTAACAAGGAGAACCTCAGGTTTAATCTTCTGGGATTATAATGAACCTTCGCATGGTCATACAGTTGATAGTCAAACAGAACACCTTAAAATATTTTAGGCCTATGAGAAGTAGTATAATTATAAAAATTAATTAAAGTTGCGAAAAACTTGCTGCGCTGTAGTGCATATAACACTTTGTAAGAAACTGAATAAGTTTTATATCACTGATATTAAATTAATCGTTCTTTCTAAAAACAATAATAAATATTTGTTGTCAAAACAACAAACTAGTGGGGTGTATGGCATCGTGCCTTAAGGCAAATTGCTGGAACTTCCCGTACCGTAACGAAATGTTCGAGAAATACTGAATGTTTTCAAATAGATTATTATAAATATTGTAACATTGTCTAAGACTTATAAGAATTATATAAACTGAATTGCAAAGTTGAAATTATTTGTTTAAATATATTAGAACTTAAGTCAGAATTAAATAAAATCTGATTTATTATCGATATACAAAAAAAAATTTTTTTGAAAAAAAAAATATTTGAACAAAATTTATTATTTAACCAAAATCAATTATTTTGTTAAAACAAGCAGAAAGTTCTTTGAATCATTTAAATCGGACGCTTAGTTCTCTCAAAAACTGCCACTTTTTTAACATTTAGCTCTGTATCTTCGAAATGACTGGGCCTACCTTTGCCAAAAACTGATAACCACTTCTCCCAATCATTGCTAATTGAATGTTTTTTAGATCATTCAAATCGTTCTCTCAAAAACTCGATTTTCATTTTCTGCACTCTTTGCTCTTTATCTCCGTAACGGCTGCACCTGCCTTTGCCAAAAACTAATCAACACATCTCCCTATCAACAGAAATCGAATGTTTTTGAATCATTTAAAACGGTTGATCCGTGCGCCCGAAAACGTGACCGAAAAATTGTATCCATACATACATACATACACACACATCCATTTTTTCTTAGGTATGCCAAAATGTTCAGAAACCATCAAAACGTCGAGAAATGTAAAAATTTTGAATTTCGATTTTTGAACGATTACAATAACTTACCCCATGGGAAGTTAATATGTCTACTAGTAATTTTTTATCAATTTGGAATTATCAGAAACTATTACGAGTATTTACTATGGAAAATTGATTGCACAACTTCGAATTGCATCTGTCTGGTCTTTGTATTCTTCGAATATTACATCCACATAATTTTAATAGGCTTTTAAACGGGCCAAAAAGTTTTAATTTACATTTAAATAATTTATTAAGAACATGAAAACAGTAATATTTAAATAAATATTAAAACTATGGCTATAAATCTTGATAAATTTCGCATTATTCATGAAGCCTTTTGATAAAATGAAAGTTATAAAATTATGATAAAATGAAAAGTTAAAAATTCAATTAGTACAAGCGCAATATATTACATTACTGCGCCCGATTTAATTAAAAAGCGGCAAAGTATTGCATTTTTTCACGTCGCGTAATATATTATTAACGGCCCCCTTTAGCAAACACGTGTTTCACCCAACAAATGTGTAATAATTGGCTCGATCTATACCTACAAATAAAATCATTCCAATCATATGATGATATTGCAATCAACCTCTGTGTCAATCAAAATCATAATTGGATTGCACCCATTAATACCAGAATACAATGGTTGTTCTAAAATTCAAATTTCAATTAACGCAAATCTAATTGACCAACAAACTGCAGGTTAGTAATTAAGTACAATAATGGCTTTTAATTATTTTGTGTTAAAAATGAAGTAGCATTTTTTGCAGAAAAAACGTATAATATTTATTGGGTTGTTTGTGTTAACTTTTGTTTTTGTAACAGTAATTTTTACGTAAATGAATTAAAACGTAAGTAATTTTTACGTAAATGTAACGAGTTTTCTTTTTCTTTATAGTTCAAATTTATTGAAGCTATATATATCAAGAAGTGAAAAAAAGGACTGTTTTTTGTTAGAATTTCTTTCGAAGTTTATTAATTTCTACTTTTACGGTAAAGGTTTAGAGAGAACTAATTATTTATTTTTAATTGTATTCTTCGTTTATTTTTTGAGCTTGTTTTATAATTGTGGGATCAAAGTAGACTGGAGTCATAATATTTATTTTTGTAAACAAAATATGTCGAATTGCATTTTTAATATAGTTGAGGAAATTATTAATTACAAATTAAATCATTTACACATAATAATTGCACCATTTAAAATTGGTATTGATATTCTATGCTTATTCTTCTGTTTTAAAATAGTTTGATTCAGAGTGAGTACCTATTTGTAAAAAAATGTTCAGACTAATTGTAAGAACATAAATATGAAGCTAAATTGTATCACCAAGTTTCCATGACCAAGTGGACTAAACTGTGTATATATAAATATAATATATTATTATATATATATATATATCTATATAATAAATATATATATATGTGTGGGTGTGTATAATTATATCTTAGTATGTATTCAGCAGATATAATTAAATGTCAATCCACTTTAGTTTAGCGGCCAGCTCAAAGCACATATTGGTTTTGTAATTATGGGTTCAACTAGCTTATTGTCTAAGAGAAAGATTGACATTATTATTTCATCAATTATGACATATACATAATAAAAATGTTATAATTATAAAAATACGATAAAGTTGCTTGAAAAACTCGAATCCCCAAATAAGATTTTAATTATGATATGTGACCTACATCAGCTTGTTACATTAAGATTCAGAAAAATAATTTTTATCTAAGTGTAAAAACACAATATATTGAAGAAATGATATTACGAGGCGTTAACAAACTATTTTTAAGACGAGTGTTATAATTAATATATAAAACATTTCAAAGTTTTTTTAGCAGGCATCAATCTAGATTAGTGATGTTCCAACTCAAAATCAAGTGATTCACCATCATTCCAATCCAGCCCTTATCTGGTTTGAATCACATTTACTTAATTAGAAATCAACTCATATCAGGTCGAAAAATATTTGTAATATAATGATAAATTATAAATTATTATATTTATAATACGTAGCATTAAAAATATGTATAATATTTTAAAAATGATAATTAAATTAAAGTCATACTTCAAATATGACATGATCGGTTTGTCATTGTAATTAGCATTTAGAAAAAACCCTTCACTAGAGAAATGAAGTAATTGCTGATTAATAAATTCTATATATTCGTTTACATAGTGGATTACGTTAAACGACGTCCTAAACAATATTGTTTTCGCAACTTCACTCATCATGGAATTGTGTTGAAGAACTTCATGTATTTAAAATTAACATACATTCATTGACGGCTTGTATTTTTTTTTACTTTTTCGCTGGTGATATAATCTCATTCATTGAACAGCTATAATATCTGTCTTGCCTAAAAAATATTTCCATTTTAATAACTTCAAAGATTTATAGAAAACTACGAATAATATAGAAATAATTTCTAATCAATAAACTTACTAATCATTAATCTTATTAACGATATTTTCAAGGAACAGGGTAAAATATTTTTTTTATTCAAGCATTTTTCATTAAATCAAGATTTGTACTACGATGTAAATGTAATAATAACGTAAAATAATTTTATTTTTTCTACTTCTGCATCTATTAAAAATATCATGGACTAAAGGTAAATATTATTATCTATATTATCCAATATAGTGACTTAAACTTCATTTTCCTGGCTGTAAAAACTAATCAGACAAGTTGAAAACATAACATGATGTGTGAGAAAACAAGGAATGAATCACGCGATGTTCCTCGTCGGCGGGAGACTCCGTCTCCGGTCATGTAATTCCATTATCAATCAAACGCCCGTCATGTCGTTTCATGATGTTTTTGCCAACTAAGGGAGACATTTCGTGTTCAGCACCGTTTTAAGTAAACGTCAACTGATAATTTATTAGAATTGATAAAATAACATTATTAATTAATATGCTGATACATTTCTTAGATTATTTTCAATTGCGAAAGACGCCTGATTTGGTTCATGTATTGCATTACCTACAATGATTTAACGTGATCTTTTTGGATAAACATAATTATTAGTCTTGATTAGTAATAAAAAAATGAAGTTACAAGGTAGCGCTAGTTAACACTTTTATGGACATGACAGTTATATATGCCTGACGCTAACGAGTTTTACATGAGCCATGTCAGACATGTATGTCTGACATACATGGTTTGGTAGAAGAAGAACATAAGTTTTAATATAGAGCCATGTCCATCATATTAGTGTGGCATGAAATAGTTTTTTTTTTCAGGAATTTCGGTAAATTTTCATTCTCTGATCTATCATGTTTTCTTGATACATTTTTAACTAAATTATCTAATAATGTCACAATAGCCCATATGAAATTTTCTCTGATATTACATAGTTAATGATGACCAAAATGTAAATAAAATAATATATGTACTGTACTGTGAACATTATTGCAAACACTATAAAATATACTTTACTCTCTAATCTACATACATTTAAAAGCTGCTAAAGGTAAACTAATGAGTAAAATACCAATCACAAATCAATTTTATTTACTTTATATATCGATACTTTTCCCCGCATATTAAAAATAAGAAAATGATCGTCAAAACAATTATCAAGACTAATATGACAAATTCATAAATATAGTGTAACAATTTTAATGCAAAAAGGCGTGATAAAAATGGTCTTTATTAAAAGTTATGATGAGTCATAGTGGAATATTCGATAAATTAAATTTAAATTAGTGTATTGCTGGAACTTCCCGTACCAAAAATATTAGTTTTTAAGAAGATTAACTTTTGAAAAAAATTTACTCTGAAAAAATTAGATTCTTGA